GAATTAGATCTGATAGACAGAGTGCCTGAAGAACTATGGACAGAGATTCGCAACATTGTACAAGACGTAGCAACTAAAACCATCCCAAAGAAAAAGAAAGGCAAGAAAGCAAAATGGTTGTCGGAGGAAGCTTTGCAAATAGCTGATAAAAGAAGGGAAGTGAAAGGCAAGGGAGAAAGAGAAAGATACACCCAGTTGAATGCAGAATTCCAGAGAATAGCTAGAAGAGATAAGAATGCATTCTTAAATGAACAGTGAAAAGAAATAGAAGAAACCAATAGAATAGGGAGGACCAGAGATCTCTTCAAGAAAATTGGAGATATGAAGGGAACATTTCATGCGAAGATGGACATGATAAAGGACCAAAATGGCAGGGGCCTAACAGAGGCAGAAGAGATTAAGAAGAGGTGGCAAAATTACACAGAACTTTACAAGAACAAGCTTAACGTCCCTGATAACCAAGATGGGTAGTCACTGACCTCGAGCCAGACATCCTAGAATGTGAAGTCAAATGGGCTTTAGGAAACCTGAGCAACAACAAAGCTAGTGGAGGAGACAGTATTCTAGCTGAGCTATTCAAAATCTTAAAAGATGATGCAGTAAAAGTGCTACACTCAATTTGCCAGCAAATTTGGAAAACTCAACAGTGGCCACAGGATTGGAAAAGGTCAGTTTATATTCCAGTTCCAAAGAAAGGCAATGCCAAAGAATGTTCAAACTATCACACCATTGCACTCATTTCACATGCTAGTAAGGTTATGCTTAAAATCCTACAAGCTAGGCTCCAGCAGTATGTGGATTGAGAACTACCAGAAGTACAGGCAGGATTTTGAAGAGACAGGAACTAGAGATCAAATTGCCAACATACGCTGGATCATGGATCATGGAGAAAGCGAGGGAGTTCCAGAAAAACATCTACTTCTGCTTCATTGACTATGCTAAAGCCTTTGATTGTGTGGATCACAACAAATTGTGGCAAGTTCTTAAAGAGATGGGGACCAGACCATCTTATTTGTCTCTTGAGAAACCTATATGTGGGTCAAGAAGCAACAGTGAGAACTGGACATGGAAGCACTGATTGGTTCAAAATTGGGAAAGGAGTCTGGCAAGGTTGTCGCCCTGTCTATTTAACTTATATGCAGAGCACATCATGAGAAAGGCAGGGTTAGATGAATCAAAAGTTGGAATTAAGATTGCTGGGAGAAATATCAACAACCTCAGATATGCAGATGATACCACTCTAATGGCAGAAAGCGATGAGGAACTAAAGAGCCTCTTGATGCAGGTGAAGAAGGAGCGTACAAAGTTGGCTTGAAAGTCAACATTAAGAAAACTAAGATCATGGCATCCGGCCCTCTTAATTCCTGGAAAATAGATGGGGAAGAAATGGAGGTACTGACAGATTTTATTTTTCTGGGCTCCAAGATCACCACAGATGGGGACTGCAGCCAAGAAATTAAAAGATGCTTGTTCCTGGGGAGGGATGCTATGGCAAATCTAGACAGCACATTAAAAAGCAGAGACATCACCTTGCCAACAAAAGTGCATATAGTCAAGGCTATGGTTTTCCCAGTTGCAATGTATGGCTGTGAAAGTTGGATCATAAGAAAGGCTGAGCGCCAAAGAAGTGAGGCCTTTAAACTATGGTCCTGGAGAAGACTCCTGTGAGTCCTTTGGACTGCAAGCCAATCAAACCAGTCAGTCCTAGAGGAGATCAACCCTGATTGCTCTTTAGAAGGCCGGATCCTGAAGATGAAACTCAAATACTTTGGCTACCTAATGAGAAGGAAGGACTCACTGGAGAAGAGCCTAATGCTGGGAAAGATTGAGGGCAAAAGAAGAAGGGGACGACAGAGAACGAGGTGGCTGGATAGAGACACTGAAGCAGTAGGCGTGAGCTTAAATGGACTCCAGAGGATGGTAGAGGACAGGAAGGCCTGGAGGAATGTTGTCCATGAGGTCGCAATAGGTTGGACACAACTTCGCAACTAACAACAACAACGCTTCTTTCCTGACAAGAGAATCAGTACCCCTACTTTGGGCGATAAATCAATCTCACAAGGAATAAAAAGAATTAAACTATATTATTTTTAAAGAAAAGGTAAAAAAATTCATTTTCAGTAGTTATGTATAAAAAAAGGCAGATAAAAATAGAGATGTTCAGTTTAAGCAATATTCCTTGTTCCTTTTCCCTACTTTTTATCAACATACACATGAGAATTCACAGCACATTATTAAAATGAATTTTATATTTTATGTCTCATTTCTCTAGAATATATAACATCTGGGTTATATGTAGGGGGAGAAGCAAAATTGCCACTGGCAGCAGAAGTCAATTCGATACATCATTTGATTTACCCAATATTAAAAACAATACAATTTTCATTATCACAGTGAATTCATAGCTTAAAATATATCAAGCAAGCAATAGCACACTAACAGTACATATATTAAATGAAATACTGTCTCAGAAACAGAGTAACAGAATAATAGAGTTGGAACATTTGTTTTAATTCTATTTCCTGTTATCAAGGTTGTTTCTTGCTTTACAAATTTCAATTATGAGTAAGTTGGGTAAATGCAAAGCAAGATGAAACTCTCAGGCTTTAACAGAGGTATGGAGATTAAAGTAATAAAATGTCTACTTCTACACAATAATTTAAGGCATTGTTTAATACTCACTATTCTACTTCTATATATGGTCTCATTGTGGTCTGCATGTACTTGTCTTCTTTACAAAGAGACAATATAAATTGTTTCCATGCTGAGGTTTTTTCCACATGACAGTTTATGGAATGGAATGGAATAGAATGGAATGGAATAGAATAGAATAGAATAGAATTCTCTATTGGCCAAGGGTGATTGGACACAAGAATTTGTCTTCGGTGCATAAGCTCACAGTGTACATAAGAGCTTTTTCAAAAGCTTTCCTAAAAAAAATTTACCTACCATAGTTAAGAATAAGCTGTAACTACAGTAGAAAAAGAACAGCATTATTTCAAAAGAAGGGGGCATTTTTTCATGTTGATTGGAGGTTTCATTTGAAGTCTTGGAATTATTATCTACTCTGGTTGCAAAATGCAAGATGACAGCTGCAGGTACTTGTATCACTACAATTTTCCTCTGTAATACAGGTAGTTCTCGACTTACAACCACAATTGAGCCCAACATTTCTGTTGTTAAGTGAGAATTTGTTAATTGAGTTTTGCCCCATTTTATAACATGTCTTGTCACAGTTGTTAAGTAAATCACTGCAGTTGATAAGTTAGTAACTTGGTTGTTGAGTCAATTTGGCTACCTCATTGACTTTGCTTGCCAGGAGGTTGGAAAAAAATGATCACATGACCCTGGGATGCTGCAATGGTCATAAGTATGAACCAGTTGCCAAGCATCTAAATTTTGATCACATGATCATGGGGATACTGCAAAGGTTGTAACTGAAAAACAGTCATAAGTCACTTTTTTCAGTACCACTGAAACTTTGAACGGTCACTAAGTGAACTGTTGTAAATCGAGGACTACCTGTATTTCAAGATATTTACAAAGGGTTTGGGGAGAACTGAGCAAAGTGACACCAGCTACTTCCTGTTGTTCTTGTCTTCTGAAATGCTACAGATAAAATCTAGATTAAATGTTATACAGTACAAATTAAAAATGGCCATTTCTGAAACTTAACATACATACATACATAAGTAAATAAAAAACAGAACATGAACTGGTGCCATACAAATATTGTTTTCAATGGGAATAAGGAATTTAGACTGGTGTAAACATTTTTCCATTAAATTATGGCCACCATATATGGATTGCAGATGAGATTAGATGACAGCAAAGAAACACATACACAAAAATGCCAACTCTTTTGTGTCATCCAGTCCAAAAATTCCTATTTTAATGGAATTTCAGATATCTTGTCTCTCATATACAAAAATGCCCTGTGTGATCCAGCAGGTTTAGCAAGTTCCTGGTCCCATCAATTAAGCAATGCCACCTGACAGGAACCAGGAAAGTGGATGTGTATACAAATCAGTATGGAACCCACTCTGATCTATTTTTTAGATAATCCCTTAAAACCTCGGTCTTTCCCCTGGCTTTTGACTAAAGCAGTGGGTCACATGATCTTTTTGATAGTGGCTGTTTTCTCCAGACACTCCTTTCATATTATTGTATGGGGTGGATTGTTATTTTAAATCTTCTATATTTTATGCTGCTGGCAGTCATAAAGGATAAAGGTAAAGGTTCCCCTCGCACATATGTGCTAGTTGTTCCTGACTCTAGGGGGCGGTGCTCATCTCTGTTTCAAAGCCAAAGAGCCTGCACTCTCCGAAGACATCTCCGTGGTCATGTGGCCGGCATGACTAAACACCAAAGGCGCATGGAACGCTGTTACCTTCCCACCAAAGGTGGTCCCTAATTTTCTACTTGCTTGGGACAAGTAATAGGAGCTCATCCCGTTACGTGGCACTAGGGATTCGAACTGCTGAACTGCCGACCTTTCAATTGAGAAGCTCAGCGTCTTAGCACTGAGCCACCGCATCCCTATTCATAAAGGATAGGGCACCTTAAACATTTAATTGAAAATAAATAAATTAACAACAGAGCTCTGGTGGCGCAGTAGATTAAAGCTGTTATTAACTGTTATTAACATCAAGCTGCCTGCAATTACTGCAAGTTCAAATCCCACCAGGCTCATGGTTGACTCAGCCTTCCATCCTTTCTAAGGTAGGTAAAATGAGGACCCAGATTGTGGGGGCAATAAACTGACTTTGTATAAAATAGAACACCGCTTAGGGGGGGCCAAAAAGCCCTACTAAGCAGGTATATACAAAAGTATGAAGGCTATTGCTTAACGCATTGTAAGCCGCCCTGAGTCCCTGGAGAAGGGCGGCATATAAATCAAATTTAAAACAAACAAACAAACAAGTGTGTCGTTCTTTCCATAAAGATTCATTTAAGAGAAGTACTATCTGACTAAACAGTTACAAATTTCATGAACTTACCAGCTGTGGTGTACACTGTATATTTTACAGATGCAATCAATTCATCATGTTCTATTGTATCACACTCAAATGCAACGGGGTGAGTATCTCTGTGTACTTCCAAAATAGCTGAATCATTAGGAATAATGAGGGATTGCTATTGATTCAAAGGTGATAAAAAAGACAAAATGTATTTCATAATTAGGAATTTACATCAACATCTTGTGAAAAGTTTGGTGCTTTTCTCCTTGTGGTCCCTTATAATGTCCAAAACAAGAATATTTTGAAGATTCCAGTCACGTTATCATTTTAGTTCCCAAAAAAGGATCCTATGCTCCTGTAAAAGTTGCCAAACCACAACACTAAGCACCCTGCAATTTGTCACAGTGACAGAGATTGCTGGGAACTATTTGGCAGCAATTGGAGAATCAAAAATTGGTTGCCCATGTGTAATTTGTTTATTTATTTTTAAATATATAAATCCATCTGCTAACAATCCACACAAATCAATATTACAAAAACAAAAGGTAACTACATTACGATCCCATAAAAATAAATGCACATATATATTCTCCTCATATTCTGGACCTAACATTTGGAGAGAAACCCAGGTTTTAATATATTCTGGAAGGCAAAGAAAGTGTTAATGATAATAAAATATAGAATGAATTATAATTTTATAACTCTTATTGATTTTTTTTTACACTATATATTCCAGAGAAATATGTTTTAAGGAAAATATTAACATCAAAATTATTATTATTTAATTAAATATGGAAAAATGGAGATGAGGGGACAAATTTCTATAAACATTTCTATAAAAATAAAAACAGTAATGACTACTATATAGTCTACAATTAAGTTTATTCTCATATTCTACTTCTGCCTAGGTTTTGAATAGCTTGATCCTAAATAAAATATTTTAAAAGACAGAATTCATCTGGACTTGGCATGGACGAAAATAATGTGGTTGAATTTGGAGATGGATTTAAAGAGATTTGTTGCAAATAAAAAAAAATCTTTCCTCAGGGAAATATAATGAAGGATGATACAAGGAGCAGAGATAGTGCCTTATTTAGATCAGAAAGCAATAAAGAATGAACCATTTTTAAATGACTTTTGAATATATTTTTGATGTTAACTTTGAATTTTCCCATTCAAGGTTGTATCTTTTTCTCTGATTTAGAATCGGGTAAAAGTAGCATTAATTTTAGATCTACCTAATAAATGGTTAAATTAAGATAATTTAGATACAAAATAAGAAATAATTTGCAAAATCACATAATAAATTCACAAGATACAAACATACAGTATTACTTACTTGGTCTGGAATCAACATTTTCCAAATGTATTGAAATCGATTTTCTGGAGGTACAAATATACATGGTATCTTCACACTAAGAAGACTCTCAGAAATAGGTTTGCCCCCTACAAGAAAACAGTTTTAATCATCACTTCATGCCATTATTAAAATATTATTTAAATACGGTAATTAAATAATATTAAAATATGATACTACATACTATATTAATGATTTTTGGAAACTAAGTAGGGTTGGACTTGGGTTAGAACTTGGATATGAGTCCAAGTTTTGTTTACAGAGCTGTAAACAAAATTGAGGAACTGAATTGAAAAAAGCATTCTAGAAGATTACAATGGTGAACCACTTCCATGAGGAAACTGCATGAATACTCCATGTAATCACCAAGAATTTAGCCCAATTTGTGGTTAGCCTCTTCTTTTTCATTCCAACCATCTAAAGCTCTGGAAATTATAATTTCCAGAGAGAGAGATGGAAGACGAAAGAGGAGGGAGAGGGAGAGAGGGAGAGAAAGGGAGAGAGGGAAGAGGGGAGAGGGAGAGAGAGGGAGGGAGAGAGAGGTGTCAGAAGAGTCAAGGTAGGCATTTTCCAAATTTTTGATCTGTAAAGTCCAAAATATATGCCATCACTGATTTAGGGCTTCATATTAGTTGTTTCTTTCTGTCCAGTCAGACCTGGCAGATTTGGCTCAGTCCAGGTCCTGTCATGTTGTGGAACCTCAGAAAAAGGGCTTTTCTGAAGCTGTGTCTCTGCTCCAGAAACAACATTTCCCCTGAAATTGATACAAGTTTGATCCTTTTGGAGATGTGGCCCTTTTCAGCAGGTTCTAGAAGAGGATGGCTTGTGATCTGGCTTCTTGTTTATTTATTATTTATTAGTTTGATTTATATGCCGCCCTTCTCCGGAGACTCAGGGCAGCTTACAATGCATTAAGCAATAGCCTTCATACTTTTGTATATACCTGCTTAGTAGGACTTTTTGCCCCCCCCAAGCGGTGTTCTATTTTATACAAAGTCAGCTTATTGCCCCCACAAACCGGGTCCTCATTTTACCTACCTCGAAAGGATGGAAGGCTGAGTCAACCTTGAGCCTGGTGAGAATTGAACTCACAGTAATTGCAGGCAGCTGGCAGCTAAGTGCTACTTTAACAGCAGCAGTTTAGTCTGCTGCGCCACCAGGTTCCTTGTTGTGCATTCTATATTGTTTTTGCTAAATAGTATTGTGTTATTCTCTCCACTATGGACATTCTATTATCATTTGTTCTTTCTTCTTTTTCAGAATGCTGCTTTAGTTTTAATATTATACATTGTTGGAGCTGCCTAGAGTTTCTATTTTGATTGATGTGACCTATAAGTTTAAGTAAATAAATAACCAGACTTATAATGAATGCATGTTATTATGGAAAGGAGCCATGAAATTCTTATAGGCTAACTAGAATTTATAATTACATCATGACTTACAGCCACAATCTGCTGGTCCTCTGCATTCTTCAACACGAACAATACACTTTGTTTCACCTCCAGGACATCCATTGGTTAATATAACTTCTCGAATGCCAATACCTTTGATCAAAATGATTAGAAAGAGTATGTGTGTACCTGTGCTGTTTTATTTATATATCTCTATATGCAGGGGTGAAATCCAAAATTTTTCCCTACCTGTTCTGTGGGCGTGGCTTGGTGGGTGTGGCAAGGGAAGGATATTGCAAAATCTCCATTCCCACCCCACTCTGGGGCAAAACCAGAGATGGTATTTGCCGGTTCTCCGAACTACTCAAAATTTCCACTACCGGTTCTCCAGAACCTGTCAGAACCTGCTGGATTTCCTATGTCTATATGTCCCCAGTCCATATTTTAATTTCCTCTCTTTGGAAATCTTTTAAAATAAAAGTGCCAAAACTCTAAAGGCCTTCAGGAAAAAAAAACGCAGTCTTTAAAATACTGCTTAAAACCATCTCAAAATCATCATCTCACAATGAAAAAATGTTCTCTTTTTAGTTGAATTTGATATTCACTTTCATTTTGTACACTACTGAAACAAACAAGTTAATTAAAATTTAAATATCAACGTTAGCTTGCAGCCTTCATGAACCTGGCCTTTCAAAGCACCCACCATCTGGTGCCTGAAGCATTTTTGCTCTGATGAGCTCATTCCAATCAGGTACTGAGGATCCTTAATGCTTATTGATATCAATGGAAAAATCAGAATAGTGAACATGTTATGGGATCTAGGCGTTCCAGAAAGATACAAATTAAGGATGTTTCAGATGTCACATTCATCTCAACCTCTAAGCAACTCTTGTAAGATAAATGATATTTGTAAATTATTCACGAATAGCGTTTGTGTGTATGACTGTTTGTGTATGGTATGCTCAGGAATAACATGAATTTCTGTTAGCAGATTCAAAATGTTCCTTTCAATGGATTATATGTTTTGTAGGGTTTTTAAAATTAATGTCTAAGACAGGGGTTCCTTGGGGGTGTGAAATAATATTCCAGGAGGTGCGAAAACTTGGGTTTAGAAGTTTCAAAATAAAAGTGTATATGCATAATTTTATGCATATAATTATTTACTTTTGTAAGGCGTGTGAGAATATATCAGAAGCGTTCTAGGGGTGAGGGCAGTGGTGGGATTCAGCCAGTTTGCATCTATTCTGGAGAACCGGTTGTTAACTTTCTAAGCAGTTCAGAGAACTGGTTGTTGGAAGAAATCTTATTTTGTTTTTTTCCACTTTACACGGCTAATCCTGTAAGGAAGGCAGGAAGGAAACATTCTGGTGTTGTTTCTAGCCTAATCTTTATTGCCCTGCTTATAGAAACTGCCTCTCTGGTTAACCCTTACTACATTGTAACAGCTAAGGTGAAGCGCTCATCGACGTGACGTTGAGTTGGCCACGTCAAATGACCACCGAGCCACCCAGCTGGTCATTAGGGCAGAGAACCAATTGTTAAATTATTTGAATCCCACAACTGGGTGAGGGGTATAGAAAAGGTTGAGAACCCCTGGTCTAAGATGTTGAAATAAATTTAATCTACATTTTAGAGTGATAATAATGGAATCAGAGCCTTCTGATGCGGGTGAAGGAGGAGAGTGCAAAAGTTTGCTTGAAACTCACCATTAAGAAAACTAAGACAAATAGATGTGGAAGAAATGGAGGCAGTGACAGATTTTATTTTCCTGGGCTCCAAAATCACCACAGATGGGGACTGCAGCCAAGAAATTAAAAGACGCTTGCTCCTGGGGAGGAAAGCTATGGCAAATCTAGACAGCATACTAAAAAGCAGAGACATCACCCTGCCAACAAAAGTACGTATAGTCAAGGCTATGGTTTTCCCAGTTGCAATGTATGGTTGTGAAAGTTGGACCATAAGGAAGGCTGAGCGTCAAAGAATTGAGGCCTTTGAACTATGGTGCTGGAGAAGACACCATGAGTCCCTTGGACTGCTAGGCGATCAAACCGGTCAGTCCTAGAGGAGACTGCTGACTGCTCTTTAGAAGGCCAGATCATGAAGATGAAACTGAAATACTTTGGCCACTTAATGAGAAGGAAGGACTCACTGGAGAAGAGCCTAATGCTGGGAAAGATTGAGGGCAAAAGAAGAAGGGGACGACAGAGAACGAGGTGGCTGGATAGACACACTGAAGCAGTCGGCGTGAGCTTAAATGGTCTCCGGGGGATGGGTAGAGGGCAGGAAGGTCTGGAGGAAAGTTGTCCATGGGGTCGCGATGGGTCGGACACGACAATAATAATGGAATGCATGATCTGTACTTGTGGTGGTTTTCAACGGGCAAAACTGTTTCCATCAAGTATTCAAATTTACATTCTCCAGAGTAAGATACTAATTTTAATTCAATATTTGTAGAAATGTTTGATTTTGAATAGTACAGTAGCATTGCCACAGTCAGTGGTGTGCAGGTGAATATTTAACAACCAGTTCCCCTCCCACCCCATTTTCCCAACACTTCCAAACCTCAGTGATACTGATGGCTCCATTGCCAGTGCTGTGTTGTCAGTTGAATAGCTGAATAGCTGAGCTCTGTTCTCACCAGCTTGTCAAACTCCAGAAAATTTTAACGATCAGCAATCAGGTACTAACTTCAGCACACCACTGGCCATAGTACAGTATAAGAATGAACACCACCACTTAACCTATTTTATATTAAAAAGTTCAGAGGTGAGGCAGAAGTACACAAACTCCAACTATTGAATGCTTAAGACTATAGGCAAGTAAGCACCTTTTTAAAAAAAATATCTGCCTACATTCAGCCAAATTAGCAAAGGAAAGGAAAGGAACTTGAGCAGTAAAGGGCCAATCAAGAACACATAACACATCTAACTGGCCAGTGGGCAAAGTGTTACTTAAAGTAAATATCCAAACATTCTCTATTTATCTGACAAAATATAGTTTTGGTAATTGGAGCCATAGCAATATGTACTTCAATGGAATTCTGGAAATAACTTACATGAAGAGGGTTGGGACTCTGTTCATCATCACAGTAACACTCCAAAACCTGAACAAAATAGGACCAAGTTTGGTGTGGGAGGAGATGGTCAAAAGGCAAAGCTGGTGCCTTAAAACTTGTAAAATTTTAATAGACCATTTTTTCCTCTTAAAAAAACCCTATCTCTCCCCTAAAACCAAGCCTACTTTTGAAGTGTAGCCATGAACATGCTATGCAAAGTCCAGCAGTCCAAATGAATGAATTGCCCTACAGCCATCATTGAGTCTGATACAATGAGGCACAAGCCACTATTGCCTATTGAGCCCAAAATTTCTGTTGCTAAGTGTGACAGCTGCTAAGTGAGTTTTGTCCTTGTTTTATTATCTTTCTTGCCATAGTTGTTAAGTGCAGTTGTTAAGATGGTAACACGGTTGTTAAGTGAATCTGGCTTCCCCATTTGACTTTGCTTGTCAGAACTTCACAAAAGGTGATCACATGATCCCAGAACACTTCAACCATCATAAATATGAGCCAGTTGCCAAGCATCTGAATTTTGATCATATGACCACAGGGAGACTGCAACGGTCCTAAGTGTGAAAAATGGTCATAAGTCACTTTTTTCAATGCTGTTGTAACTTCATATGGTCACTAAATGAATTGTTGTGAGTCGAGGACTACCTATATATCATTTCAGATTATTTTCACTTATCTTCTTTGCTCAGGAATAAGTAAAAAAAAATTAAGAGCACATATTTCCTAGTGAATATGCAGAGTATTCCAGCCAACAGTAGAGAGATACACATATATGCAATTCAAATCAGATAAAGAGTCCCAAATTTCTATTGTCAATATTTCACTTAGCAATGCCATGCCATAGTTTAAAAAAAATGTAAAGATATTAAACACAAATGCTATGTTACTTTCCTTTTTTCTTCCCTCTCTCATGCCAAATACTGCATTTCCTGCTTGCTAAAATGACATATAATGCGAGGGAGGAAAGAATATTATGTTTAGTCACAGCAAATTATCAAAGAGATTATCATCCATTATAGAGACATTTGTTTATTGAACAGTACAGAGAGAAAGAGGATTTTTTTTAAAAAAATGTTTTGTTGACCTAGAGATAAACAGAATAATGTTGGAATAATGAATTATACTTTAGGCATACCAAAATAAATTTGGATGTTTTGATCTTTGGAATCTATTGAGCACAATTTGATGGATACTATAATATTTCTTGGACTACATGTAAGTCATAAAACATTACTTCAAGTGACAGAGGGAAGGAACAATATTTACCGGAGCTGTCACAAAATAAGGATTCTACAACATTGCTGAATATGGCTCAACTCAAAAATACAATAACTAGAAATGTAAATGGCTAGGAATTGACACTTTTCTTGAAAATATTTTTCTTGTTTTGCAAGCCTATGGAATATTTTTCATAGACACAAAACTGATGATGACAAAGATAGTAGGGGGATAGGGAAAGCAGCAGCCATATAGAATTTAATAGAATAGAATTCTTTATTGGCCAAGTGTGATTGCACACATAAGGAATTTGTCTTGGTGCATACACTCTTGATGTACAAGAGTGTAAAAGAAAAGATGCATTCATCAAGAATCATAAGGTACAACATTTACAATACTTAATGATAGTCATAGGGAACAAATAAGCAATCAAATCACATTAGGAAACAGAATTCTTCTAGTCCTTGGAAAGTATAGATGGGATGGGAGAGATAATGGTCTCCATTCACTTCCTAAGGCCTTTTTAGATAGAGAACATACTGTGGTATCCCATCCTTGCTCTTGTGCTATTATCATCCAAATTATAATCCAGGGTCTATAACTGTCAAGGTTATTCTGACATTCATTCTGCTAAATTCAATATATTTAAGTAATTCTGGCTGTTGGAGTACTTGCTAACTATACAATCCCATATACTCCCAATCCACACCTATACTCTCATTCCATAAACATATATATCTATTCACAACAAATACAATCTCTGTGGAAACTAGTCAAGTGACTGGATGATTTCTAAGTACAATGGAAGCATTCAGAATCCATCTGAAGAAAATACAGTCAAATGATTACATAATTTTAAATAGAACCCTTTGGATCATAGGTATGTATTTCACAACTGATTTCTGAAGATCAAGGAAAGGAGAAAGGGAAAAAAATAGTTCTTAAGTGGATTAGAATGAAATATCAAGAGCTTCTGGAAATAGCAACTTGAAAAGAACAGGAAACTTTCTTCCATAGAAAAAAGGCCACTTCTAGGCAGGAATATGTAGGTTTTTGCAACATGGGAAGAAACAGAAAAAAAGATAGCAGGTTACCCACTTGGTAATCTTGCCATCAAAGATGATATATATTAATTTGACTGCAGAGTCTCTAGAGAGCCAATTTAGTGTAGTGATTAAAGGCACCTAGAAACCAAAAGACCATGAATTCTAGTTCCACCTTAGGCACCAAGCCAGCTAGGTCACTCTCAACCCTAGGAAGGAGGCAATGTCAAACCACTTCCGAAAAACCTTGTCAAGAAAACTGTTTAGGAAGTCACCAGAAGTCACCAGTGATTCAAAACAAAAAAGAAAGAATCCTTAAATAAAAGGCAGAAGTCATTACAATGTTTGTAGCAGCAGGTTATAGCTACATAAAGCTAGGACCATAAAATATTTTTTGGTGAAATAAAAGACAACACAGATAAATTATTGATTGAGCTGGGGGAGGGGAAAAACTCTAAATGAGGATGTGTTACAGCTTAGAATTACTGTTAATAATCCTATTGTAATTGCTGAAAACCTAAGCATTGTATAATGAAAAGAACTGGGATAATAGGTGGATCAGAATAAAGACCTGTTGAATTATTTGGATACAGAAAGAATATAGATCATTTGACTATAAAATAGATACCAACTGGGTGGCAGGTATGATTTTAAGGTGTATACACACATATATACGATTTAAATATTAGTATTACCATGTTTTCCCGAAAATTAGTCCCTTATATTTTTTTGAACCCCAAAATAAGTGCTTGGCCTTATTTTCGGGGATGTCTTATTACTTTGGGGCGCATGGAGCAAGATGGGGCTCCTCTTGCCATCTTACCTGATTTCCAGCTCTGTCTTCCTAACCCTAACCAGAGGAAATGGCGGGGACTGGCTGCGCATATGTTTAAATATTTTCAGGGAGGGCTTATTTTTGGGGAGGGCTTATTTTCAGGATTGGCTTATTTTAGAGCATGTGCTCAAAAGTCCGATTGGGCTTATTATCAGGGGATGCCTTATTTTAGGGGAAACAGGATACTAACAAGAAATGCTGCATTGGAAAGCGGATATTTCCTGTTTTACTGCAGAAATCTAACAACAAACAAGGCAGGTTGTTTTCTATCTCGGCTACCTGAGAAATAAACACACTGGGAGAAACACCTATCCGATTTGCTCTTCTCTGCATGAAGCCAGACATCTGTTACTAGACAATGAGTGCTCTACTTCTAAAAACCCTCCACTCCTTCTGAGGCCAGAACTTCCCATAACACAACTAATAAATTGTATAAGTGCTGAATAGGCTACAACGGAGAAGTGATTTGTGCTAATAGAGCTGGCAATATTGTAAGTGGGAAGACATCTGTGAGATGATGCATCAGAAGGTCTTTCAGCTTCTGAACATCTCACAGATGTTCACAAATAGAGGGAAATTGTTACTTTGGTGAAAGCAGCTCATAGCCAATAAAGAAAAGGAACTGGCTTTTTAAAAGCAGCTTACAGGCTGTGAAATTAACAACAGATCTGACCTAAATTTCTAATGACAATCAACTGGATTGTTTTTGTAAATTATATCTAACAATTATTGAAAATCACCATGAAGTAAATAAGGAAACGCAACTTAAAACAATAAAAAAAACTACCCTTAGCATTATTTATATATATGCTTACCACACGTAACAGTGCATTCTCCGAATTCTACTTCTTTAGGTTCGGTCAAATTTTCACCTGCAAAAAGGATGAATTACCACAAGCTGGTAAGATGTAGTTACCTAATTGGGGTAAAATGTATTTCCTAAATTCTTTAGTGCAGTTCACCTGAAATGCTAATAGTTGGTCCAGCAACCCCCCCCCCCCCCAAAATAATAATGTTAAACACACTGGACTCTGCCTCAATTTAAGTTACCCAAGGACATATATTTCCGTGTATATTCTTTGTTTAAATTTTAAATGATGACTTGACCTTTTAAAAGGTAAAACTGCTTCTAAGAAGTACAGTGTATATCTTTCTATGGGACCTGTTTCAATGTTAATTTTCCAAATCCAACACTGCATTTATTCTACACAGCTATGAAGCACACATTGCGAGAATATCAACACCAGGAACATATATTAATATATGCAGGGTTTTTTTTTTCTAGCTGTTCTGTGTTTCCATGATATCCAGCCGCCGCCGCCACCCCCTTCTTAAACCAAGCGTGCTTCTCGACTCCTCCCTATTTTTTTCGGGAAACCTCAGAAAGGCTGGGCGTCGGTAAACCGCGCGCTCGCTCTCTCTCTCTCTCTCTTTTTCTCCCTTTTGCACCGCCCCGAGTCCCTCACCCGAGTCCACCAGCCTCACGATAGGCTCGGCTAAAGCCGCTTCGAGAGACAGCGAGTCGTTAAAGCCGATGTCGGGCTCGTCTTCGGCTAGTAGCAGGTTCAACAACAAGTTCAGCAGGAAGGCGAGCGTGCACGCGCCTCCCGTTTTGCGGAACCCCATTTTTTTGTTTGTTTGCGGCGCCTTGACTGCGCCGAGCCCGCGCGGGAGCCGAGCCGAGCCGGGCGGGAGCCGCACTGGCGGCAACCATTCAGGCGTCACAATGCGACCCGCTCAGAATTCGAAGGGAGGCTCCCTGAGGGAGGGGGAAGGGGAAAAAAAAAAGTAGCGGCCGCCTTTTTCTTTCTTTTTTTTTTAAAGGCCCCCTCCACTTGTTGCAAAGATACGACCATCTTTTCTGCCCCAGGCATTTTTCCCCTCTTCTCTGCCAGAGACCTTATAAGCAGCCCCCGTAGGGACAAAAAAAAAACAAAACACCCCACAACAACCGCAGTTACCCCGCTGCGCAAAAACCACGTTGAAACTGGCCGACTCAGCGTAGGTTTCTTTCACGTTTTAATTCCTTGCGCGGAAGTTTCCTCCAAAAGGCGAATTGGGACACCATTTCTGTTTAATGTACAGGCAGTCCTCGAGTTACGACCACACGGCGGAGCCCAAAATCTCGTTTGTTAAGTGAGCTTTGCCCCGTTGTACGGTTTGCCACAGTTGTTAAGTGAATTCCTGCGGTTCATAAATGAGTAGCCTGGTGGTTAAGTGAATGGGGTTTCCCTATTGATTTTCAGAAGGTTGCAAAAGGGGATGGCAAAAGTCATAACTATGATCGAGTTGCCTTGCACCTGAATTTTGATCCCGTGATCGTGGGGATGCCGCAAAGGTTGTAACTCTGAAAAACAGTCATAAGTCGCATTTTTCAGTGCCGTTGTAACTTTGAACCGTCACTAACCAAACTGTCAAGGACTCGCCTGTATTTGTTCCCTAATCTATTAGATGTTTTCAAGCACCAGGTCTCTTAGCCTGTCTTGTATGGATAGGCATATGCTGGAATGGTTAAGACACCTGTTGTCTCTGAACAATCCCAGAAGGCCTGGTGTGATTTCAGGCGATGGTTTGTCACTTTCCAGCATCCAGCACTCCTGCCAAAACGACCTTTGTTTATCACGGATTGGTTGTCCCTGAGCTGCTTTCTGGACGGATGTAAATTCATACTCCATTGGCTCTCTTTTGCCCCAGGCTTTTTTTCCCAAGTATTATTGGCCTCTGCCCTGGGGCATGCATTTGTAGAACAGAAATGATGGGCTAAGGGATTTGCAGTGGAGCCATTGGGAGGGAGAGGAATATTTTATTCACAGTAACTCTTCATGCCCAGTCTCAAAGTAGCCATAATCATTGAGTTTAAGTGCAGTTCAGAGATCCCAAGTGGGGCTGTGCAACAAAACCCAAAAAAATCTGTGAGTTACAGATTGCTTGATTCCTGTTGCTACCAAACACTCTCAGTAGTGAAGCTTTAAGATTTGTTTAATAAATTAGCATGTCACAGAGGTTACACACCTTGCTACTTCCTGTGCTTTAAATACATAATCAGTTTTTTGCGCTGGACCTCTGGTATGGCTCTCATGAGGGTTCTTTAATCTTTTATAATTCAACTAGAATGGTGCCTGCATCACAGCTATAGGTCTTAATTTTATTCTGTCAGCATATTTGAATGACAAGCTTACCCAATGAAATTGAATGTTATCCTTTGACAGCATTATACATTCAGATAACCTTAGGGCAGGAAGTAGGCAAAAATAGTTCTGTGCTTAATTAATATTAGTTACTCTGAATCCTTAACTGAAACCATAGCAAGGTTATAATAAATTAGCTAGCTGGCAAATATTAGGGTGTTCCATGTATGTTGTCAAATCTCAAATCCTGGTGAGAGGAAGACTGAATATGTAGCTAGTCAAGGCAATTTTTACAAAAATTTTCTCAAAAGTATTGAGAAGCTGTGTGATTCAGTGATCTTTGATGTCTGTTAATGCAGAACGGCATGCCTGGCAAACATATCCACTAAAAGAATTACTGTATATTGTTTCATTTTTTTCCATAGAAAGATATAATGAGGAGAGATGCAAAGTGACTAATAGATTTATATTTCATTTGAATGTGGCTTCCAAACTTTACTTTGAATGAACCATCTCCTGTAACAAATGAACATAAACAGATGGACACTGACTGCTAATTGCTCTGCAGTGTATCAAAGAACATCATTTCAAGATTTTAGGAACTATCTCCAAATCCGAACACTTGCTTCAGAACCTATCTTTTTGGTTATGTCATTTAGACATAGATATAGTAAAGTTCCACTGAGTCCTTCTCTAAATAGCTTATTTCATAAAATTCTCAATTTCATACATCTTCCCAGCAATTGTTTCTAAGTCATAGAGTTTTCAGTACAATGACCAGAATTTTTGGCATCATTGGAATAGAGTGAAATTCATTTATTCTTTCCATCTTTTGTATACACTGAGAGTGTATGCACCAAGACAAATTCCTTGTGTGTCCAATCACTCTTGGCCAATAAAGAATTCTAATCTAATCTAATCTAATCTAATTAATCTAACCCAGTAGTTCCCAACCTTTTTTTGGGCATGCCCCACCTAAGCATCTCTAAAATCCTGAGGCCTCCCCTCCCGTGATATGTAATTCTTACTTTACTCAAAAAGTGAACTCTACTCACACAGAGGAAGCCTAAAATGCCATTAACTAGGTTTAAACAAGGTTCAAATTGTGCCCATTAAAAATCAAATTGCCCCCCTGTGGGGCATGGGCGTTGGGAACCACTGATCTAACCTATCAGAATAGCTTTTTAAATCTTCCTTGATTTTTTTTTTAAATCACAAGTTATCTGAAATTTGGATTTATTTCCATTGTAGAACTGTGCTTGTAAATGATATCTAAATTTTGTCCAAAAACGAGATTGTAATCAGTTCCATTTTAATGTCAAGTTTAAAGAGCCTTTGAAACAGAAATATGAGAATTCTACAGCATATGAAAGGGTGATCTTTATTTCTTGGAATGTTCTCTTGTGGAAATTTTGTCCTGTTGAAAAGGACCATTTATGCTTAACATTGTGTCTTCTTGGATTAAAGTTGGCCTGATCAGCTTTCATTCCATTTGAACTGAAACAGGTTTATATAGGTAGCTACTAGGAGAGATGTAGGGACGCGGTGGCTCAGTGGCTAAGATGCTGAGCTTGTCGATTGAAAGGTTGGCAGTTCAGCGATTTGAATCCCTAGTGCCGCATAACGGGGTGGGCTCCCATTACTTGTCCCAGCTTCTGCCAACCTACCAGTTCAAAAGCACGTAAAAAATGCAAGTAGAAAAATAGGGACCACATTTGGTGGGAAGGTAACAGCGTTCTGTGCACCTTTGGCGTTTAGTCATGCTGGCACATGACCATGGAGACTTCTTTGGACAGCGCTGGTTCTTAGGCTTTGAAACGGAGATGAGCACTGCCCCCTAGAGTCAGGAACGACTAGCACATATGTGCAAGGGGAACCTTTACCTTTACCTTACTAGGAGAGATATGCAGAGGAAACTATGGTGGGCTACTGTCCCTAGCAGATTTTCTTGCCAAAACAATTTAGGCTAGTTATGCAACATGAAGCATCCAGCCTATCCAATACAGTTGATGTCATGGTATCCCAATAATGTAATTTAATTTGCCTTTCCTAGATAATTTTAATTCTAAACATTCTCTACAGGTAACACTTCACTATTAAGAAGAATTAATGCTTCTAGATCTTCCATCTCTTTCCATAGTAACCAAAATAAAACTTAATTGTAATTGTTAAATGTCAATCAGTATTATAGAAGTTTTTGTAAGAATAAAAAAGTCTTCAGCACCAAAAGAAAGTTAGAGTCAAAATTAGAGAATTTTCTCTAGTGGGAAATGGAAAATATTGCAGACCTCTTTGTAGAAAACAAAACTAATTTAACTTAATTTCCTACCAGTAATGTCTCCCACAGAAAGGAAAGTAAAACTCACTATTGTACTGATAACATTGGAGAATAGTAGTTAAGAGCTCTACTAATCTGAAATCTTTACATTGAAATCTCAGCTTGGATTATGTGTTATTTGTAAACCTTGGATTGCTCTGTTTTAATAAAACTGCAATACCTCGAGTCTAGTTTAGGTCTATAGATTTATAAACAATTGCCAGCAGATGTTCAACTTTTCTAGGTCCCAACTGGCCTAAAATACTGTAGCAACAACTAACACACATTTTCTCCTAAATTAGGCTGCTGAAAAAGTACTGTGGGGAAAAATCTTTTTTTTTTTTTAATTAAAGAACTTGGGCTCTTGTTTTGATACCAGTCATAGTTGATTGAATATATGCTCCGAAGCATCCCTTTAATTCTTACCCTAAATCTGCCCACTTGAGTCACTATTTCCATCTAGCCTAGTTAATTAACTTTGGTGTCCTAGTAAAAAGCAAAATAAAATCCCACAAAGCTAAGTATAGTTATCAACTTTTCAAAGCATTGAATTGGATAATTTTTTTATCCTCAATAAACTTCAATAAACCTCAATATTTCCCTAGGCTCTAAATTTCACAGTTCTTTTAATTCCCTTCACCAGGTAAGGGAAATGAGGAAACAGATTATCACCCAGAAAAAAAAGTGGAGGAAGAGATCTGTCAGTGCTTGATCAATAGTTTGCCTAAATGTGTATGTAGGAAGGCAGCTGTTTCCTAAGTGAAAAATTATCAGGATGAAAACTGATAAATATCAGGATGTTTGTTACTGTTCTTGTTGAAAAAGCAAGTCCTGTCTGAGCTTTCTATTTTGCCATATAATCCAAATACTGTGTTAAAAGGCTTCAGTTTTTTTCTGGTGTAACTAATCTAACCAAGTAGGTAGCTTCTGGATGCTAAAGAGTGCATCTTTTCTCACACTTCCATAGTAGTTAAATAAAATAAAAGTTGTATTCTACGGTACTATAGAATATATGCAATTGGCTTGTTCAAGATCATGTGGTGGGACTGAGAATTTAAGGTTTTAAAAATCTTGACTGGCAGTCCAAAAAATAGTCTAAAAAAGATTAAATATGTACATAGAACGTAAATAATATTCCCTGTATTTGTTAAAAATGAAGCTCAACTGAAATATCTGATGCAAAACTTTCTAGGGGCTAGTAGAAATGAAAATCAGCTTCCAGGATGCTGTTTGCCCGTTTTCTAAAATGTTGGTCTGATTTATTTGCTAATAGTTCAAATCAGATATTGTTAGATAATTCATGGTTGAATGAAGCTTGTTTAAATAGCATCATGGGAAGAAAAAAAAACCATAGACAATGACACAGCCAATTTTCACATTTCTATTGTAGTTACTATATCTAAAAGGATTGAAGCTGCCTAGAAATTTAAAGTATTTTTTTCTCTCCTTTTGAGATATAAAACCAGATGGCAAGCAAACTGAAGTTCCTCCTCCAGTTGTCAGAGAAAGTTGTCATTCAAAATATCGTGAAGGCACCAGGTATCTCTTGTTATAAATCATTATAATTCATAGTGGACAACTTTGGGCCCTTTACCTTATTGCAAAATTGTTATTAGAAGATATTGACTGAGGTAATTAATGGCTGCACTTCAGGCACATGTGGAGGATCAAGTGCTTCTCAGATCTGAACTTTGTATAATACACTTTATACAACTTAGTTTAAGCTTAAACAAAAGACTATACCATTTATAAAAGGAAAGACAAATCATATTGAAGTATTTTCAGTCCATCAAATGTGCTATTTCATGAATTCTCATTAAAGAAAATTTTCATAGCAACAGGATTTGTTTTATTGCATGCTATAGAGTGCATATAATTGCTAATAATTATACATACTCATTCTGTTTTGTCTGTGTTCCCTTTAACTTACATTGGTATTTAAAATAAATATTTATTTGTTTATATCCTATCTTTATTGTTTTTTTTTAAATACTCAAAGTGATGTACATATCCAACACACCTCCCTCTTCCTATTTTTCTACAAATAACGACCTTGTGAGTTGGGTTGGGCTGAGTTAGAGTAACTGGCTCAAGGTGACCCAGCTGGTTTTCATGGCTAACACTAACGCATGACATGAACTCATCTGCTCCTGCTTTGTAGCTTGGTGCTTTAAACCCCTAGACCACGGGTGTCAAACTCACCACATCATATTGCCATCATGTGACATTTCACGATGTTTTTTCCCTTCACGGAGCTGGGGTGGGTGTGGTCAGTGCACAACGCATCCGGCCCACAGGCCACCAGTTTGACACCCATGCCCTACAGCAGGGGTCCTCAAAGTGTGGGCCAGATACAGCCCGCCAAAGCCATTAATCCAGCCCACATGGGACCATGAGGCTGCCCTGCCCACATCCCCCAAGACAGTCACATCCCTTCACTAATCTTTTCACCCCCAGGAGCATAACAAATTAAAGTTTAATTTGTGTGTATTGTTTAATGGACTGCTAAATTGGCCACACCCACCCAGTCACATGACCAACTAGCCACGCCCACCCAGTCACATGACCAACTAGCCACGCCCACCCAGTCACATGACCAACTAGCCACTCCCACACAGTCACATGACCAACTAGCCACCCAGCAGGTCCAGCCCCCCAACAGTCTGAGGGATTGTGAATTAGCCCTGTTTAAAATGTTTGAGGACCCCTGCCCTACACCAAACTAGCTTTTTATTGCAAAATAATTATTATTTTTGTAAAATAAGTATTATCAGCAGTTAAAGTTTTTTCTTCTTCATATTCTGGTAATTTGCTGTATATTATTCTGTATCCATGTATGTATATCATATGTGGATTTACAAGAATTGTTCTGCAAGGTGAACATACAACCTAGCGGTCAAATAGTTCCTGCTATAGCACAAAATTAAATGTGTAAGAGACCCTTATTAAAGTACTTTGTAGTAGAGTTAATAGTTAAACTACCCAATAGGTAGTTGCATAGCATTGCACTTGAATATGTATGCAAATGTAATTTAAGCTATGTGAGAAGTTTTTTTGTAAAATTTTAAATATACTCCAGATACCTCATTATGAAAGGTCACAATTTACATTTCAATAAAATGTTTTCCATGTAATAAAATATAATCACCAATTTATGTAGCAAAACTATCGGTAGTAGATACACAAAAAAAAATAGCCTACCTGGCGATTAAGAAAAATAATTTATGTAGGCAAAGATGCTTGTGTTTAGAAAATGATAAGAGCAATTAATGTTTAAGAATTCTCTAAACTCTTCATAAAATCTGTACTCAACCCACACATCTAATAAATAATGTTTTATGTTATGTAATTGTTAGCATGATGAGATGGAGAAAGAGCCAGCTGAATTTTTAAAAATGAAATAAGGCCTGTAAATGTACTATTAATGGTTGTTTTTAATTGAATCTTTTGTTTTTCTAGCAAATTAGTTTGATTATTTAAATTACAAGTGCTTCCTAAAATTAATTAGATCTTAGAATACCTATTTAGATGTGTCAAAAGAAATACTGCCCTTATTACTTTACACAATTATCATAGTAGTGCTTTATATCATATTAAAAGAGTAGAAAAAACTATAATGTTCATTTACACTGGTTATCTCCACTGTTTTTAATTTATTTGCTCTCCATAATTCTTGAATAGAAAAAAGAGGGGAAGGAATTAAAGGAAAAGGGGAAGGAATAGGCCAGTTATTTTCAGCCTGTTCATAATATATGTAGCCTTATATTCATTTATCTGATAGGAAGTTCTGTGTACTGTAATTCTGTTAAGCCTGATTAAACATGGTGGTCTTACTTCTGCATACAGCTTGCATACAGTTGACTTACAAATGCAATTGAGACCAGAATTTTGGTTGTAAATTTTAACAGTCATAAGACGAGGCACCTATGTGCCTGGACTCAATTTTGAGGCAATTTTTATGGTTGGTTATTAAACAAATGGCATGATTGTAAATCTGAATCCAGACTTCTGAATAATGGGGGCGGGGGGGGGGAGGTTGCCAGAAGCTAGCAAAAAATGCTGGAAACTGGCAAAAAAACCCATAGCAAATCATAGTCACATAATTGTGGGACATGCAGTTACTCATAAATACCAGCTGCTTGCCAAGCACCCAAAATGCATTCATGTGACTGCAGGAGGGACAGGACATTTTATTATGGCGCTTTCTGAGACTGTTATAACTCTGAATAGTTATTAAATAACTGGTCATAAGTCAATGATTATTTATAAAAAAAGCATAAGTATGTACTGTAAGAGTGAGCTGGGTGCAGCTTTGGTTAACAATAATTCCTCTATTTTCTTAAATTATGTCAAGAAGATGTACAGTTAACGGCAAACAGCTTCTCATTATCAGTTGGTTATTTCTATTGTATTTTCACACAGCTTTTTTCAGTCAATATTTTCAGATAAGAATGGCTCCATTCTGAAACCATTATGATCAAGAGGACGTGCAAACCTGACGTAAGTTGAAGAATTCCAATGTTTTGAGAGCTTTTTAAAACAATGGAACAATGGTTAACAGAAAATCAAAACATCTGAAAATTGGTGATTAGGGGAAAAACTGTATTCATTTTTCCCCTGGTGAAAAGATTTGTGTGTGTGTGTGTGTGTCTTTGTGTTTGCATTCCGTTGCTATTAAACCAATGATACATAAGCTTTTGAAAATCACAATTATGTTTTCCCATTTGCCAGACCAAGGCTTTTTCATTTCAGGATTTCTCATTTATGGATGCCGGTAAGTTTGAAATTGCACCTCTCACTGCTTATGTCCCATGCCGACAGGAGATAATACAGAGACATCATTATTTTGAGTTCTGCCACATCACCATCTATTCTTCCTACTATCTTCAGATTTAAAAAAATGCCTTTGGCATTGTATTTGGCTTCTGAAGCTTGCAGTGGGCATTTTTAGCCAGTCATTGGTTAACTTAAACCAATCAATGACTGATGAATGCTCATCAATTAATGTTCATGTTCTCATTTCACACTTAACAGTCACTGAGTTTATTGCCTGTTCTTTGAGGATTTTCATGAACAAATTGCCTCACTTTCCTTCACAGAGAAGCTGCAAAAATTCCTAGTTACTGATCCATCCTCCCACGTATTTGTAGGTATATATTCATTTACAAAAGAACCTTTCAGAGTGATTATTTGCAAGTAAAGACTAATTTTTGAACTATTAGCATATGGATTGAGAAGCCTGAAATGCCTTCTTTTCTCCATGGTGCTAGATCAGTCTAGCATGTGAGGTTTGTTATATATAGCAGCAAACCTAGCAAGAGCATCATGCCGTCAACACTGCATTCAGCAGCTTTCCTCCAGGCTGGGCTGAATAAAAAATAGTTGGAAAGCAAGGCATCCTCTCTAGTAAAATTGAAAATGCCCACAAATACAGAATTTGTTGAAATATGACTTTGTTCTAGTCCAAGCAGAAGACAAAATAACTTGGTTTCATAAAGATTTTAAAAATGTGAGTTTTTAGAAAAGTGAAACATCAAAAATAGTTTGCTGTTCGCATCATCTGATTATTGGAAGTATATACTGTAAAATCATTGTAAAATAGGATTCAGTATTACTATCTTGTTTATTTGTATGAAAATATCTGCTGGGTGAAAATATATTTTCATTCCCTAAATTTCACCAGTGAAACACTTCCTACAAGGAGGAAGAAGTATCTCTACCTTTCAGTTTTATCTGGTTGTATACATTTGTCACCTTTTATCTTATTTATAGTCTTTGAAATAAAATATCCCTGTTCAATTTTGTGGATATTTTTTTCCATTCCTGTGCTTTTTTTCAACTTTCTAGTATCCCTTTTAAGATGTGATGAAACCTTGTGACACCATAATGATTGTGGGCATTCTTAACATTTTTTCTCTTTCTTTGAACAAATTAATAAATAGCTGTACATAGGTTTCCCTAATAATACAATATAAGTTAATTTCTTTGGATTGTTCTCTTAATTGTTCCAGCACGATGACACCTAGTATCTGATAATTCACACAGGCGATGGAGTTGGTGTATTCTCTATAGGCTACTAATCTTTCCTTTCCAGACAATAAGTACAGGTAGTCTTCGACTTATGACCACAATGGAGTCCAAAATTTCTGTTGTTAAGTGAGATATTTGTTAAGTGAATTTTGCCCTATTTTATGAATTTTCTTGCCAAAGTTGTTAAGTGAGTCACTGCAGTTGGTAAGTTAGTAACCAGTTGTTAAGTAAATCTGATTTCCCCATTAACTTTGCTTGTCAGAAGATTACAAAAGGACCGCAGGACACAACAATGGTCATAAATATGAACCAGTTGCCAAGCAGCTGAATTTTGATCACATGACAATCAGGATGCTACAATGGTAACTGTAAAATGGTCATAGGTCACTTTTTTCAATACTATTGTAACTTTGAATGGTCACTAAATGAACTTGTAAGTCAAGGACTACCTGTATCTATTGCTAATACTGTCACTCTTGGAGCCTTTCCTTGGACTATAATACTCAAGCTTTATCCACATCTATCCTTCTATCCATATCTCTAGGGAAAAAAACTCAGCCACTTCTCCTCCAGAAATTAAACTGAGAAATGTTATCTTATGCTACTGTTCTTTGCGAGACAATTCTAATGTCCAGTCATCTGGTATTCCAAGCTGGTAACACTACATTTGTCCAAAGACATTGTTATAGCAGTGGCTTAATTTTTGATTCCTTAAGATCTATATGAAACGGGAACCCTCAGATTGATTAATAATATACTTCCAGACCTCAACTCCAATTTCCTTTTATATATATATATATATTTTATATATATATATATATATATATATATATATATATATATATATATATATATATATATATATATATATAGGTCTTGTCATATCTATACATATTTTTAACAGAAATATAATTACTATTTAACATACATTACTATTTTGTTCTTATATAAATATCCCTTGTCCTCATTTACATATTTAAATATTATCCAGTATCCATTTTACAAGCTAATTCTTTTTTGTTCCAACTCCTTTTCTCCTTTCCAGCCATTGGTACACTTTGTTTCAAATTTTATAGTATTCTGTCTCATCTTTATTTTTGAGTTCTAGTGTCAGCTTGTCCATTTCTGCACAAGTCAAGATTTTCTTTATTATTTCTTCTTCCGGGGGAGTTTCTTCCTTTTTCCAGTATTGCGCATAAACCAGACTTGCTGCTGTTATATTTCTCTTTTGTGATTCCTAATAGGAATAATTCTAGCTTCAGATCTATGCTTTGGTCTAATATCTCCTCCAACCATATCTTAATCTGGCGCCAAAAATCCCTGGCTTTCTTACATAACCACACATGTGATAGAAAGATCCTGACACTAAATTACATTTCCAACATGGTGGTGATAAATTCCTGTTCATCTTTGCTAATCTTGTGGGCAGGAGATACCACATCTCCCACCCACAATTTCCTTTTCTTTTTCAGTCACTCCTAGTTCAGATCCAATCAATGTATGTATGATTAAGATATTTTTGCCTCAGGATGCAAAGCATACTTGCTACCCCCAATTTAGATCTATCCTAAATAATCTGATGTTGTCAGCAAAAACTGCCTGCCTCCTTGCTCACCTTTAACTCCAGCTAATTCAAGAACAGCTGCAATTCTTGCTGTTTTATTTTTATCCAAGGAATTGTTGGCAGTAAAATGAAAATACAATAGTATTTTTCATGTTTTGAAAGCAATTTATATTCTTTTGTTTATGGAAATCCTGCTCTTGTGAAAATGGGGACTCACTTCCACAAATAAGTAAAGTAGGGTGAAATATTTAATGAAGGGCGATCAACCCCACAAAATACAATGTGAAAATTCGGTAATAATGTGAAATTTTGGAAACTGATTTTACATTGTGATAGCCTTTAAAATAGGATCATTTTAATCCAAAATATTAGATGTTACGATTTCATAAACTCTTTACCTTTTTGAAACAATGATTTCTCCTGGGTTTTGAAATAATCTTGTTTCTATTTCTTGATCTTCTTTTTCAGTGTATCTTTTACAAGCCTGTTTGTGCTGCATTAATATGGCGTTATCTATGTAGCCCTTTAGCAGAGACCTCATCATATATGTTCTGTTTCTTTCTAGATATTCCTAAATTACAAGTATCAGTACTCAGCCGCTGAACATCCTATATCACTCTAGTCATTTCACTAATTGATATTTGCTCCCATCCTTGCATTTTTTAATATAATTGCGTGCATTAAATAGTTATTTTGGGATAGAAAGAAAACGGTAGTTTTTCACATGCGGTACATGTACATCCATGTGTGTTCTGTATCTGATTCTCTGCAAAGTCTTAATATTTTTAACTGCCATGCTTCTTTCAATTTTTGTTTTTAAAGTATATTAATTTATAACCAACAGTTTGAGACCTTTGAGGTCTTCTGTTTCTAAAATCTCTGCAGGCAGTCCTCAGTGAGCACAATTGTCAGCAACTCCGTCATTAAGCAAAACAGGCACTAAATGAAACCGTGACTATGCTGATGATCTTGCTTCCGCTTTCCATTGCTATATTATATGAGCTGCAAAGATCATAAACATGAGGATTGGCCACAAGTTACTTTTTTTATTACTGTTGTAACAGCAAACAGTTGCTCTCCAAGACAATCACTAAACAAAGACTACCTGTACAATGCATTTTTAAAATAAATCTGGAACATCTACAAACTATCATTTTTTTCCAGACATATATTGGTACTCATTGCACTATAACCATGGAATCCATATTCTTGGGAGTTTAGAGCTTACAGAGCACATTATATGTTAACCCTAATTTCCTCCATCTTAGTTTCCAACAGCTAAATATCCTTTGAGCCTGACAACAGGTTTTACCTCCCAATGATCTGAGCTATGAATTTTCCTCATAATTCTCTACACATATTTTATCTACATTTGTTTGCCTGGTTGCAAGAAAACTCTCCTTTGAGTTTTTCTGCTGCTGTATGAAAGGTGAATAGATCATTAATTGACAATAGGTAAATGGATGTCTGGGTGCTGCAGAGCCAGTAACGGTAACAAACCTGCATCTAGAAGCCTTTTTTGTTGTTGTTGCAGCTATCCTGATGGTACATATCTATAAGTTGGTGACATGATGCTCAAACCTGCATAACAGAAGAACCTTCTGTGCAGGGATGAGAGGAAGAAACTCTGTTGTAAACAAAGACCCAAACCTTAGAATCATATTGAACAAGACTTTAGATCCCTTGGGAGAGGCAGAAGGAAGAAAAGATTGGTTTCACATAAACATGTAATGATTCAGCTAAGTACACTTAGAGGCAGGAAACGGAGAAAATCCCCTTCAGTGGAAACAGATCATCTCCACAGTCTGCTGAAATGCAAGAGAGCCTCTCAGCGATTCTGTAACATTATCATAGGGGAAAAAATGGGTTTTTCACAGTTTGGGAAAATTGCAGCGGGATTGTCATTCATCAGATTAGAAATGGCTTCTCATTTTCAGGTGGGGTATTCGACTGGCAGACCAAAGAGATGCCTGGAAATTTATCACTGATAATATATCACTGATAAAGTGATAATTTCCACACTGCTTGAAAGCAGCTTTTCCCAACCTACTGCCCTCTGCATATTAAATTATAATTCTCATCACCTCAGCCAGCATACCTGTGCGGATGAAAATAATAGTTCACTCTATCTGAAAAATACACGGTTGCTCAGAGCTTTGTTCATTGTGTGGGGTTTGGGTGGGGGGGAGAGGGGAGAGATTCCATGTGAAATTTGCCATTTTTTCTTCCATCCTTGAAAAACTCTAAACTCTCTCCATTCTCTCTCCACTGGCTTTAGGAAGTCCACTAGGCTGGCAAGCAGCAATAGTTTCCACATTTTTCTTTAGGAACGATACCTTTAAATCATACTGCGTTATCCAACTGCTTGCAGTGATGCATCCTTTAATTCACTGGAAACATTTTGTCAAGTCCCCAGTGTAAACATGACCACAGTTAAGTTTTTGAAGTAGAATTGCCTCTCAGGAGTTGACTCTTTCCAGGGCTAATTGTCATGCCTGCTGGGGGAAAATGATAAGCTCTTGGTAACAGTATTTTATCACCTATTTTCCTGCTTCCTGAGTTTCAGCACTAAATATACTGAAATGGTAGAGTAGGCAGAGTAATATTTGACAGGTAGGGACTCCATTTCAACTTCAATTTCAATTTTTTAGGAAAGCACTAGTGATATAATGGCACCAGAAGAATTATAGCTGAATTTTGTGTCTGCTTGTTTTTGCTTTCTGGAGGATGTTACAAGTGGCAGCAGGATGCCATTTAACATTTGTCCACCTCCCAAATGGGTTAAATTGTACTGTGGCAATATGGCCATTTTGCTACTAAGTGTTAATGGCTCATTATCAAGACTTGAAGGGCTGAAATAAGGGGTGTTGAAGAGTTGTGCATAGCCAAGTTGTCTAAATCTGTATTAGAAGATGAGGCAAATCTTTTTTGTGCATATTAGTTGTACCATGTTCTCTCACAATGTGTCTGGCCAATCAAAAGAGCAGCATCCAGCTTCTTGCAACAATGCTAAACTGGCATTCAGAGGTGCAGAGCTGCAGAAAAGCTAAAGAACAAAGAATGAGGACCCAGATTATGGGGGCAATAAGATGACTTTGTATAAATATACAAAAGTATGAAGGCTATTGCTTAACACATTGTAAGCCGCCCTGAGTCTCCAGAGAAGGGCGGCATATAAATCAAATTAAAAAAAAAAATTCCAGCATATACATCAAGTGTAAGTCCTATTAACTACAAAATCCAGGTTCAAGTTCTTACATTTTTTTCTCTCATCCACAGAGCATAAAGGGCTTGAAACAGCACTCTTTGGGGAGGGAGGAGCAGTTTCCAGCTATCCAACTAGTAGTTTCAAGCCGTGTGCTTTTGACATTGTGGGGACTGGGTCTCAATCTGTATCTTTGGACTTGCTGTCTTCTGATAGATTGTAGAGAAAGGTATTATTTTGTGGCTCAACCCTGAAGTGTCTGTGGAGAGGGGTAAAACAAAAAAGTCAAGATGGGAGCCCCAAAGATCTGCCCCTTTTGTAGACACATGTATAAACAGATGGAGCTTTGGTTACATGTCACAACCACAATCTGAACCTTTTTGATCTTTCATGGATGTCACTGACTTGTTGCAAAGCAAAGTACAATCTAGACTCATGAGTCTAGATGAGTCTGTTGAGTCTAACAGCTTTTTTAGAAAATAAATTGGTTTCCTTTGGGAAGCCAGTGCTTTGTTCTATGCCCACCTATCCAGAATGAAAGATAACCTCATTCCTGCATTGTCTTCTGGAAAATGGGCATTTTGTGAAATTTCCAAGGAGCTCCCTTACCCCGAGAAGACTGGGGAGGGTCAGTGACCTGATCTGTCTGCATATAGAAACAAATCGGCATCTTCTATGTAGTTTCCCATGATATCTCTTAGTTTCTGAAGATCAGCTGATCTTGAAACAGACTGTAAAAGAAAAAAATATGACCAAATGTAATTAAATCCGGAACTTACTTCTTGCTTTCCCCCTTCCCTGCTTTGCATAATATTATCTGAATTACTAGATGCAGCAGGTGTTTAAATATCACAAAGACAGGCACCTCCAATTAGCTGAATCTCCAAAGGCAGAAACTGGAAAAGGAAATTGTGATGCACCCCAGCATAGAACAGAAGCTTGTATTTCCTATAGAATTAGCATAACTGATGAGAATATCAGATTTTTTTCTTAAGCAACCGGAATTCAAAACTGACTCGCAAAACTACTCCCTAAGGGAAATATAATTTCTTATTGCCAGGCTTTTTATTACTTGGATAAAGTAAATAGTAGGTTTGTGCAGTATGTGTAGGATGTAATGCTTCTTATTCATAGGTAAATTGTTAGCTAATTTTTTTGCTGTGAAAAATATCCTATCTCAAGCCAACTTTGAACATAAGGTGATAAGGCTAGGGCAGGAGTGCAGTCCTGTGGAGGAGATGGCTAAAAATCATGCTTGCTTATTATAAGCACCTTGTGTTATAAAATGGACAAATGGATATAAAATGGATATTTAAGAGGATGCACATATTTGGCGGGGGAGGGGGAATGGTGGCGGGAATTCCAAAATATTATTTCACCTGAGAGTTTCTTGCCTGTGCATTCTCAGCCTTGACAGGTCCAGTGGCAACATGTTGTGGGTAATGTTATCAGTGCCTCACATCCAGCTGCTTTTGTTTCTGAAGAAGTATTACCTTCAGCTCCTCCTAACAGGTGCTTGTGATTCTCCAACCTCCAAGGACTTCTGGCCCTGAAGAGGTAGCCCCTTCCTCATTAGGAGGAGCAGCCCTGAATTTGGGTCTTGAATCTCAATATGTATATTACTACACTGACTCTAATTCAAATCCTTCCCATACCTTGGGCTTAGGTGGGTCTTATAGTTAAGCTATGTCCATCATGGCAACCATTTTATAAATCAGAAAAGCCTTCCCTAGAAGACATTTTCTATGGTGTCAACATTGTAAATATGCTAACAAAAATATTGCTCTATTTCCCATGGCACATCTTTTTCTTGATGCTTACGTGTCATAAGAAGGCTACCACAAGCAAATGTTGAATAGCAGTGTGGATTCCGTTCACTTACATCTGTCTGTCTGTCTGTCCATCCTACAGGGTGGCTGTTACAGTCCTTACAAGGTATGATGTAGAATACTCTGGTTTTTTTTTATCAGAATTAAAGAATATTGACAAAAATTCGATTTCATCTTTATAGAACAGAACTAACTGCATTACAGTATTTACCACATCGCTATACTTAATCATTATCCTTCTCCAGCGTTTTATTTAGTAGTATCAAATGCTACTGCATTATATCAGTACAAAGAAGTGCTGAGCAAAGCTTGCATGTTCCTTAATGCATAAACACACATGTATATACACATGCACGGGGAGAGAGAGGGAGGGAGGAAAGAGAGAGACACACACAGAGAGACAGAGAGAGAATGAGAATATAGTTCAAACGAAATGACACATGCTGGGCAGAGTTTATCAGGTAGTTCTTTTCATCAGCAGAGTTTAAAGGATATCATCATTTACCATTTTACTTATGTCTTTAAAGTGGAAAAGAGCAGATAAGTTCTGCTTGCTGTGAGATGCATTTAAGATGGATGGCTCTGAACCGAAGTGTCTCAATCTGCAGCAACAGTGAAGCTAGCTTGAGACTGTGTTCTGACAACAGATGACTAAATGCAGGCTTCTTCGTGGCAAGGAAGTGACGTGGATTTTTGAAATTTGCCATGGTTCAGCTGAGATGTGAGTGTTCATCTTGAACAGAGTGCAGAAGCCTTCTGTCAGCTGTGTCCATATGCTAGGCATATGTTCCTCTCTGCCAAGCACATCTTTTTAAATTTAGTCCTGGTGGGAGCATGTTCTACACCTTACTGATGCTTGGAATGAGTGTACTCCCCCCCCCCCCCCCCCACCAGTTGTGTACTTGAAATTAAAGCACACGTTCATTTCAGAATATCCTCAAGGCTCAGGAGATGACAGTTCCTTCCCTTTCAAGCAACAACCCTTGCCAAGATCTATTTACTTGTTCCTTAAATCGGAGGAATACAATGAATCACTGGACTCCTTTTTCACAAGGAGGTCCATAAATGAGTCTTTCCACATCCTTTTGCATTTTTTTTTTTTACACACTGAGCTTT